TAAATTTATTAATAGTGCCTTGCATTTATATTTTGAGTGCCAGTACCTTTGCCAAGCAAAATTATTTATTATTCAAATGACATGAATCTTTATTTAACACGAGGTTTCCGGACAGACTTACTGTACTGGTCAACGTAAAAAGAGAAGTGTATCGTCGTAACTGTCTACCTATGTACTAATCGCTACCAATTGATATGAAAAACACGCCAATTACAATGTTCCGAAAAAAGTTATTTAAATGGTTGTCCCACTGTTGTTTTTATTCAATTCAAGTATATTTTGACTACAGAAAATAATCAGATGTTTATTTAAACTTGACATTATTGCGACTTGTTATTTTAAATGTATAATTGAATAAAATATTTTATAATAATTAAGATAAGTACACTAAAATTGTGGTAAATTTGCATGCTATTACTAGTTAAGTGTGAGAACCTGTTAATAGAAATATATGTTAATCCAACTATGTACACCTCACTTACTGCGAATAAATTATTATCACTATCACTATCACTATCACTATCATTATCACTATCACTGTCACTGTCACTGTCACTGTCACTGTCACTATCACTATCACTATTATTATTATTATTCATCAAAATGTTCTCCATCTTCTTGAAGTCTCTTGTTAGAGAGAAACGTGTTTATTATCTCGTTTGTCTTAGGTTTGAAACGTTCTTCAAAAGCCTCAATAACTTCTCAAAGTTTCTCTATGTCATCTTTTTTTTTTATTCAAATGTAAGTGTGCATTTGACCTCCATGTCACCTGATGGAAAGTGACGATGAGGTCGCCGATGGAGCATGACCATACATACCTAAATAATGCCTATTCACTCTCGCCTTGAAAAGGCCCAAGTTATAACGTTCAGGGAACAATTCTGCAGGCAGGAAATTCTATTCCATAGCCGTTCGCCATATAAATGTGGAAGCGTAACGCTTCGTGCGAATCTTTGGAATATCCACAACATAGCAGTGGAATCCAAGCCTACACCTAGTCCCACGATGGTGGGAAGGGAAAGATGGAATCAAATCGTGTAATTCCATCGCACACTCTCCGTGGTATAACTTGTAAAATACCGATAAGCGTGTAACTTTACGGCGGTGTTCAAGACTCTGCAGCTTCGCCTCTACTAATTCCGAGTCACCTACAAGCCTCTTGACACGATTGTCAATTGAATCCAAGGTGGCCAGTTGGTAAATAGCAGAGCCGTCCCAAAGATGGCAGCAGTACTCCATATCTTAGTTCTTTATCTGTGCTCCATACACGACCGGACTTGTGCTTGATACAGCTGAAGCCAGTTATATGTTGAGTGTGTGTGTTATGTGTTAATATATCACAAAAGTCGGAGTCAGCTCAAAGAAACTCCGTTTTGAGAAAAATAAACGTTTTGGTAGCATTAAATTTGACCCTTGCATTGGTCCTATCTACAACTGTGCTGTCATCGGCATACACATAGGTACCTGGAATTATGCAGCAGAAAGAGTGTTGCAGACAGTACGGAACCTTATTCGGAAGAGTAGCCTTCTAAGACAACTCGAATGGAACGTTCACTCAAGAAATCCGAGATCCAATTGCAATTGTCAGTGGGAAGCCTATAACTTGGAAGCTTACTTAAAAGGCTTACGTGTCAAAGGCTTCAGAAATGTCCAAAGACACTGCAAGTGCTTTGCCTTGCTTTTCTATAGCTTCGCTGCATACGTGACAGAACAAGAAAATCCCCAGTAGATCGCCCTCGTCGGAATCCGTACTGGCGATCACTGAGGAGGTCGTTGCCTTCAAGGTACGACAGGAGACGGTTGTTGAGTACACATTCCATAGACTTGCAGAGTATGAAAGTGACTGACATAGGTCTATAGTTGACATTTATTTATTTATTTATTTATGGACCATCAACAGACTTACATGTAGGAAAGCTTAAAATAACTAATGCTAAGTAATACGTTACATATAACTCTAATTATAGACGGCCTCACCATGCACTTAACACTATTAGTTGTTATTTAAAAAATACTATGCCTATACTAATAAACTTCTAACTTACAATATTTCACAGGTACCTAAGTTAAAAATAATACAATATTCCCTAATCAAATTACAAACGAAATGAAATTAAACTACTGGCTTAAAGCATTAGTGATTTTGATTTTAAAAACATCAATAATGTCGTGAAAAATATCTATTGTGAAATCTTTTTTTACCAACTCATTAATCAGCCGACACAATCTCGGAATAAGTGCATGGTGTCCCAAATTGGTACGGTACGTCTTGTGCCTTAGCAAAGGCACCGGATGACGAGGTAGACGCGAGGGTACGTTAAAATTAAAGCTGCTCAGCAACCTTGGAACGTCCAGAGTACCTTTCAAGACCTTGTATAAAAACATAACATCGTGTATTCTCCGCCTATCCACCAATGATACCATGTCTAGACTCTTTAGCCGATCTATATACAATTTGCTACTGGTGTTGCCGTATAAGCAAAAGCGAGTGAAACGTCTCTGGATAGCTTCCAAACGATCTTTATACACTTGATAATTAGGGCTCCAAATCACTGAGCAATACTCAAGTCTACTCCTGACCAGGGCGTAAAACAATAGTTTTTTTGTAGTCTGATTCTTAAATATTTTACAATTGCGATGCAGAAAACCCAGCATCCTACATGCAGACCTACACACTTTGTCAATATGATGATCAAAACGGAGCTCTGAGTCAAAGGTAACACCTAGGTCACATATCGATTTTGTTTCATGTAGTGATATGTTGTTGACATTATAACTAGAATTAACAATGTTACGTTTACGAGTAAATTTGATGTGGCAGCATTTGTCCGTATTTATGACCATTCCATTTATGGAACACCAAAGAACCAACCTATCTACATCTTCTTGCAAAGCATTAACATCCTGTTCATTACGAACATTGCGAAGAAACTTTAAGTCATCAGCAAACATGAAACATTTAGTGTTTAAAAAACAATCTTGAACATCGTTTAAAAATAAATTAAATAAAAGTGGCCCTAAAATGGACCCCTGAGGAACTCCCGACGTCGCCTGAAAAGGTTTAGAGACGTAACCTTTAACTACCACATACGACTGTCTAGAATATAGGTATGACGCTAAGAGGGCCAACAATGGACCACCCAGGCCATAGAAAGACGATAACTTGACCAGTAGTAGTTTGTGATTCACCCTATCGAAGGCCTTAGAAAAATCGGTATATATTACATCAACCTGTGCACGACAATCCACTGAATCTGACAAGTGAGTCACAAATTCAGCCAGGTTAGTAGCAGTTGACCGTGAACGTACGAACCCATGTTGATTCTCAGTAAGATATTGACTTACATGACGCAAGAGAAACGGATGCAACAGTGACTCAAATACTTTAGACACTGTTGAAAGGATTGAAATCGGTCGATAATTCTTCACATCGTCTTTGCTCCCTTTTTTGTGCACAGGGACTATCCTAGCTTGCTTCCATACTTCCGGGAACACACCAGTCTGCAAAGATTGATTGTACAACATACACAAAGGTAACGATAGCGGTATTGCACATCGAGCTATGAATAACGGAGACAGATTGTCAGGTCCTGCACCTTTATGTATGTCAAGTCGTTTCAACTTCTTAAGAACTTCCAATCTAGAAAAAGTTAAGCAACAAAGTGTATTGGTAGACTCAATCCCATCCGAAGCAGAACCACTGCTGCAAACATTCATATCATAGACTGATGCAAAAAAATCCGCAAATAGTCCGCTTATATCAGCTCCCTCTGAAGCCATTCTATCATCCAGCCACATTCTGGATGGATATGCATTTACCGTTTTCTTCGTATTTTTTAAGTGGGTCCAAAAGAATTTTGAATTTTTAGCTATGTTAGCCTCCACGGACGCAATGTATTCAAAATAACATTTTTTTATTAAATTATCCGAATCCTTACGCAATGATTCAAAACTCATCCTATCAAGTGAATTGTCATATTTTTTAATTTTTTTCCTAAGTTTATTTTTTTTCTTTAAGATTGATATTAATTTCTTATTAAACCAAACAGGATACCTCTTATTAATTAATCTAGATTTCTGAACATGTTTTTCTATAATTACATTAAGTTTTTCATAAAAAAGGTCGACCATTTGGTTGACATTAGAACAAAGTGAAAAAAGTTCATTCCATATAATAGCGTTTAAATCTTCTATTATATTGTCATAATCTGCCTTATGAAAGTTGTACCTCTGAGAAATCTTATCATTGAGTATTTTCTTTTTCTTTACTTGGACTATTATATTAAGCGGGGGATGATGGCTATCTACAACACTGATTGGGTGAATGTTTTCTGATACTTCAAGGTCGATGAAGTTTGAAAACATCAGGTCCAACAATCTACCATTAGCATTAACTACAGAGTTGTATTGTTTTAAAGAATTTTCTTCTGTAAAGTCTATAAAATGCGTCTGCAGACTACAACTGCCAGTAGGATAAAGATGTGTCGCGTCAGGAATATCCGTCCATTTTATACCTCCCAAGTTAAAATCACCCACCAAGACAACATTTTGCACTACGTTCAATATATTGCTCATGTGGGCAGTAAAATAGTTAACTTTTTCCATCCTAATGGGCGGTGGCAGATATACTGCACATATCGCCACAAGATCAGATTTACCACAGGAATCAACGTCCAATTCCACCCATAAGTCCTCGCACTCACTCTCCCATTCAAGTTTACGGCATGATGATATACTAGATTTGACTGCTATTGCTATTCCACCTCCATTCCCATAGTTGTCACCTTTCTTCGCTCTATCTCTTCTATACACTACATACCTATCATCGAAAATTTCTCCATCAAACACACTGTCGTTGAGCCAGCTTTCAGTAAACACAATTACATCAAAATTGTTATTAACTATATTTAACTTAACATCAATCGTTTTACTCCGAAGACCCCTGACATTTTGATAGTATATACTTAAGCAATACATTTTAACAAACTTAAAAAAAAAAAATTAGAGACTAGAAGCAACCTATACAGTAATTTACTTAAGCAACTCTAGCTGAGCTGCACTCTTAACTATGACATGTTCAGTGGTATCAGATTTCCGCATAAACACACGTCCATTCTTAACCCAAACAAACTGATAACCCAGCCTCTTGCCTGTAATTCTGGCAGCAGCATGCAATTTCTTCATTTCAGGTGTTAGATGATCAACGACATATACGGCTCTTTTCTCGCCTCCAATTCCGATGTGGCTTGTACTCAATTTATCGCTTGCATGATTTTTGTTAAACTTTATAACGCCTGCCATAAACGTGTCTCTAATACGTGGACTAGAAAATTTAACAACTACTGAACGTGGCCGCTTACTATCAGAATTTAACTTGGCTATTCTGGTACATTTGTATATATCACTGCCTTGTATTTCACTTCCGGTGACTTTACTTATCTGACCCACAATTTTTTCCAAGTTTTCAGTTTTATATTCAGGAATGCATTGTATCTCCACATTGCTCGTTCTCGAGTACTGCTCCATGACATTTAAGCGGCTGTTTATATCAGTCAATCTCATCTTTATTTGCATGTTTTCATCTTCGAGCTCTTTAACCACATTACATTTTTGTTTTAGTTCCTTTTTTAAGTCTTCATGTTCTTCATTTAGGTAATTTAAGGAAACCTTCAGCTCGTTTATTTCCTTAAAGATTTCTTTGGTCTTAGTATCCACTATCTTCGTTATTTTCCCCTCCAATTTTGCCAATAAATCGTCTGACGCCTCCTGAATAAGGGACTTTACACTTTCTAGCGTAATCTGTGAACTGACATGGTCAGCTCTGCTTCCTTTTTTGGGCACAGGTTTCACGTTTGCAAACTTCCACGAACTAGGAAGTAGTTCCTAGCCAGTCTCAAGTGAGGCGATACAAGCTTATAAGAACAGAAGACAACTCAGGCGCACGGTTACGTAGGACTACCGCTGGAATTCCATCCTGCTAGCTTTGTTCACGTCAAGATTCCGCAGAGTTCTTAGTACCTCTTTTTGGCGTATGCGAACTGGCGCCATAGTGCAGTCAGTCTGAGGTAAGGTAGGTGAACTCTCTGCAAAGAGTGAGGCAAAGAGATTCGCCTTCTCTTCTACAGTATGGGCCAGCGTGCCATCCGGCCTCAGCAGAGGTGGCAAAGATGGGCGGCAAAAGTTATTCTGGAGCGTTTTGACTAGGGACAAAAGGATTTGCTACCTGCTGGATAAAAGGGAAGCTTAATATTCTTTTGCACCTCTTGGCAGCTATATTAAGGTTCGGTGTTCGACACCGCAGTGAATAGACGTATCTGTGCTAATCGTGCGAACGTAACCAGTATAAATACCTCTGTCTTACGACGTTTGTGTGTAGTTACCGTGTCAGTGTCGCTTGTCAGTCACTTTTCGCAGTGACCACCGTACAAGACCTCTCGTATATGAACCTTAGCCCGGCTGATCGGTGTCTCGCACGATTGGATTTCCGAATTGTCTACAAGTGCCTAGTGTGTTCATCGGTTCCTCCTTGTCATACATACATAGTAGGGCCGTAAGGTGCTCCCCTAGCGGGTTTAGAGCGAGACAATATACTGTACCTACTGGTGAAGTCTATCAGCGGGGCCCTCTACAACGTCACAAGTGCTACGTATCTACGAACTGCTACGTGCAAGAAATTTTAGAAATCTTTTGCTTGTGTCATTAATTAATAATTATAATAATGCCAAGGGTTGAACGCTCGCCACCACCATCAACAAAGCTAATCCAGTCACAATCAGATCCAAATATGGCACAGCCACAAAGTAACTACGAGCAAGAAAACAAAGAAAATAATTATACGAATACGAACTCTCGTAGTAAGCGACCTAGAAGTGAGTCGTCTCCCATCAACGAATTTTTAAGTTTTAAACAGGAACTCAAGCAGGAAATTGAAGAAATGTTAACGTCCTGGAACCTAGCTCATAATAATACATTAACTCAAGTGATGGAGCAGCAAAACACACTTCTAAATAAGCTTATTACCGAAGTATCTGAGTTGAAACCACAAAACTCTGGAATTCAAAAATCCTTTCTTGAAGTTGAAAAATCTATGAACTTTATTAGTTCACAATACGAGGACATGGCAAAAAAAGTTGAAAACTGGGAAAAAGAACGAACGCAATTGACGGAGTGTGTAAAAAATTTTGATAATAAAATTAAAGACTTACAACAATGTTCTCGTTGTGCCTGTGTTGAAATCAGGAATGTTCCAGCTAAGAAAAAAGAATCCTATGATGATCTGGTGACAATTGTAACAAAGATAGCATCCACAATTGGCAAAGAGCTTACCTCGATGGACATGAGAGATGTACGTCGCATTCCGGCCAAACCAGGGATAATCAAGCCAATTGTTGCTGAGTTCACGCATGTGCATAAAAAACAAAATTTCATTGATGCAGCAAAGGCTTACAATAAGAAGCGCCCTAACTCTGATAAAATGAACACTGAGTCTCTGGGAATCATTGGTGACCGTAAACCGGTATATATATCTGAACATTTAACGATGCAGACAAAAAAGTTACTTTTCGCCAGCCGTGACTTCTCCAAAGCCAATTCCTACGATTTCTGCTGGACCTCCAATGGTAATATATATTTACGAAAAACACCTGGAGCGAAACAAATACTTGTGAAGTCCGAGCAAACTTTAAAAGATTTACTGAAGTGCGACTGATTAATAAATTAATGAAAATTAAAATGAATGATGAATAAATTGTTTAAATAGTCTAGTTAGTACTATTTAAAAAATTTATTTTATTTTTTTCGTTTAAAATATTCAAAATATTATTTTCATATTCATTGCATAAAATTGTTACACATATCACAAAACGCACAAACAATTCATAATTATACAACACGCATTCTCATACCTCACTTAGTCATATACTTTCTCTTACATACACATATGCTATATATTTTTACAATGAACACTAACATTTACCTTTACACTTACACAGCCTGCACCAATTTTAATCTACTCATTCTCACAACTTACAAATCATATAGTGTTAAATATATTACATTGAATCTTACACTCACCGATTTGGTATCGCATACAACATAAACCCGAAGGAAAATTTTTGGTCACAGTGTTTGGTACTGAAAAGTGATTTAACAATTACTATTTTTATAATGAAGTCTTTGGTGGCGACAATAAACCAACCAGTATCTATGTATTTCGAGTGTTTCCCCCTATAAATGGCTAATATATCAGAATTAAACCCTGATCTTGACGATTTAATTATATCAAAATCATATACCAGTGACGTCGCACAATGCCACACATATATCAGGAATAGCTCGAAGTCGTTAACTCTCTTACACCTTATCGTTAGAAGTATCGATAAAAACTTTGACACATTTAGATTGCTACTATGTTCACTAAATCTTAAGTGTGACGTAATAATTTTGTCTGAGTGTTGGTTGACCAAGGTAGTGAACTTACCGGAACTGGACGGCTACAAATCATATAGTACAAAAAATGTTAAAAATCAAAATGAAGGAGTGGTTATTTATGTAAAAAACTATCTCAATTATTCTATTCAGGAACCACTCTTTTTGGATGCCAATTGTATAATCTGCAAAGTTGATAATAACCTAGCTATCGTGGCTTTATATAGATCACCATCCTACAAAATAATAGATAACTTCATTAACAGCTTAAATTCCGTTTTACATACCTTGTCACCGTTTAGAAACATCGTCATAGTCGGAGATATTAATATTGACATAAAAAGCGGTAATGTTGATGTCCACTCAGGTGAATATCTAAACCTTACTGCGTCTCATGGCTTTTTACCTGCACACACTACCCACAAGACTTAATAACTGTTTGGACCATGTTCTCATAAAATCCAATCTTCAGGCTACTACTGTCGTTATTGAGTCATCTATAACTGATCATTACCCAGTCCTTCTAAATTTAAACTTTGAACCGCAACAACGTCAAATTAGCAGTGTAGGTACGAAATCAAACTGGTGTGCAATTACTTGTGAAATCGAAAAAACTGATTTCTCTAGTATATATTCACTTAGTGACGCTAACCAAGCGACTGAAAGCTTTTTGGCGATATTGAACTCTATAATTTGTACACATACCATCACATTCAGAATTCCATGTAGGCAGAGAATTATTAAGCCCTGGATTACGACAGGCTTACTAAGATGCATACGTAATCGTGACAGTATGCATAAGAAAGTCAATTCTGATCCGAATAACGTGATTTTAGCTATTACCTACAAGCGCTATCGTAATTTTTGTAATGATCTGCTTAAAAAACTTAAGCGGGAATATGAAAGATCTGAATTTGATAAAGCAAAGCATAGTCCTAAAAGAACCTGGGAAGTAATGAAAAGGCTTACCCATACTGATAAACAGATTCTCCCACCAACAGAGCTTCTAAAAACGTGTAACGATCCTACGGAATCCGCGAATGCCGTCAACAGTTATTTTGCTAATATTGGGAAAGAGTTGGCTAAAAAAATAGTTAAACCTGTGGTTGATAACTGTACATCTATTAACTTTAATATATCGCCTTTGAACTCAATGGTCTTGCTGGAGGTGATGGAGGATGAGGTTAGAGATATAATTAGAAGTCTCCGTAACTGTTGTAACCTGGGTTCCCTACCTTTCCCTAGTGAGGGTGGAAATAAAAGAAGGTAGGGCGGTTAACTGTTTTAATTAAAAAAAAAATGAATCCCAGGGTACATAAAATTTATGATTACGTGGGCTCCGGCCTAAAGGTACGGATCGTTAGCACTCCCGGGGTTATGCACTCCCCTGGGTAAAGGCCGGCTGGAATGTAGATAGCCGGCGCCTTGTCGTGTCGGAGACGGAAGGCGTTGATGAAGGACCCCGACGGGAAGTGAAC